TGAGACTTCATTGACCCAATCGATGACATTTTGCTCAGCGATGTGTCAAATGAGATAACATTAGACCATAAAATATAATACTTGTATAAATTCAGCTACAAATATAATTATTACTTTTAAAATAAAAGCTAATTATTATAAAGTTATACTGTATTATTATTATACAAATTTTCAGACATCAAGTTATTAAATATTAATTAATTTGTTTTTATAATAAATAAATTTCTAATTAGTATAGAAAATGTTGGATTAATATTTACTCTATTTTGAATAATTATTCTAAGAAATCATTCATAAAAAGTCTCGAATTATAATTACACTGAATTTGATTTAATCATAAAGATAAAAAAGTTTTTGCTAATTGTTTTCATGTCAAATAGAAGTCATTAACTAGAGGTAAGAAAAATATACATTAATAAGAAAAATCAATAATCATTTACAATAATAACTTATCATACATTTAGATATTAAATAAAAACGGATGAATAATCTTTCCTTTGAGTGAATCATTTTGAATAGAAATAGAAAATGAATTTCAAAAAATACTTTTGTTAACTGAATGTCTTTCATTTGACTATAAATTGAGATTATAACAAATCATTGAATATTATTCAGTATAAATTCTAGCATATATTTTTACGATGAATTATTTTGAGCAATTTTTTATTTTTAATATTATTGATTGTGTGATAGTAGCAAATTGTGTGCATATTTTTAACATTTAATACTCTATTGAATGTTTATGATAATAGTTTTTGAATATATTTGGTCAAATTATTCAAATTAAATTTAAATATATTTGCAAAATAAATGCCAATCATTTTTTATTTTCGTTATTTTCACTCATTTAATTACAAGAAAACTTATAAGCAGTTTAACTTTGAATAGAAAAATAATAATTTTATATTTTTATGTAATTTACTGTAAATTACTAATTTTCTAATAAAATTATCTGANAGCAGTTTAACTTTGAATAGAAAAATAATAATTTTATATTTTTATGTAATTTACTGTAAATTACTAATTTTCTAATAAAATTATCTGAGAGAGAGAGAGAGAGAGAGAGAGAGAATACCAATGATCGCATAATTAAGGAATTCTTACAATATTATGTTTAATATGTTTGTTTCGATTAGCGACTGTTTGTGTAAACAACTTTAATAATTATAATGAATAAATAAAGATACAATCGGATCCTGGTATTGAAAAGCAAACATAGAGAAGCTCATTTTTATCACATATTCTTATTATGTACAATTTTAATTAATGAAAGATATCATAGTAAATATAAAAATAAGGGTGAATAATATAAACATAATTTTGCATCATAAAGTTACGTATTAGTTATAACTTATACAGTTAGTTATTATTTTATTTTGTAATAACCTTTGCATTTGATCAAAAGCTAGTTTATAAAAAGATTTTATAAGACTTAATTTGAATATGGATAAAAATAAACTACAAGGTACAATAGAGTGCAAAATGTAATTTAACATGAAGATGTTTCTAAATAAAAATGTAATTCTTAGAAAATATGTATTAAAAGATAAAAATGAAGCGGATTTTAAACTTAACCCGCGGGTTGAGTACATTTGTACATTTGTACAAATGTACATTTGAAGTTCAATTCATAAAATCAATATCTTATATAAGATTAATATCTATTATATTATATAATCCTTGCACTTGACATACGACTAAAATAGCAATGTTATGATTCATTTAAGCACAATTATGTTTGCTTTAAATCCGGTACAATATTCTTTATATTTTCAAATAATTATTAACATATCTTGAAAATAATTATAAATTTGTTTTTACTATAAGTTCTTTAATAAGATTTATTTAAATATGTAATAAGTAAATAAATGATTTTTCAAAATTTATAACATACAAATTTTTATTTAATTTACTTAAACAATATTTATATGTTTAATAAATTATTAAACGTATTGTAATTATTCTTTGTGTATAGTATTTATATCGTACAATGTTTTCCAATACACATTTATTTAATATACTACTAGAATTAATTGTAAGCCATTATTATTTCAATGGGAAATAATCTAATTTCTCAAAATATTTATTTTCCCCAACATTTGTTCTTAATACTATAAGTTCATTTGTATATTATTTTCTGTAAATTATCTGGTTTATACAGTTTATTAAATGTAATCATATGTCACAACTGTACTAAATATCATATAATTTTAAGACATTGGGGTTTAAGAGTAAATCTCATGATCAAGAATAACCAGAATATTAAGAAAGTTCATTTTCTAATATTTTATAATACTATCATCATTAGTATCTAAATTAAAGCTTTTAAAAATAGTAAGTTTAAAATGGATTTGAATGTTACCTTATATTACGTGCTGTCATACAAAAAACTCAATTGACATTTATCATAAGTTAATCCTAATATAAATGCTGTTATAATACACCAATTATCTAATCAGTTGAGATCACATGCAAAGACATAAACTTATTATTATTAATAAATAATATATTTTGCAAACATGAGAGATACATCAAAAGGAGCTTTTTTAATGACAATTAATTACAATAATATAGTATATTAATTTTTATTACTAGCTTATTTCTTATCTAATCTCTAATTAAATTATATGTTTGTTATAATATTAGTAGTAATTCTAGTGTATATATGGTGAAATTGAAAATAAATGAAAATATAAAAATACAACATGAGATGATTTTAAATAAATAAATGTTTGATTTATGTACAAACAGACGAAATGATTGCACACTATTTTCCTTTAGATATCGACTCTAATGCAGAGATCATTGGAATGGAAAGCAATGTTAAAAACATGTGAGTCTGTCGTGAATAACAATACATTGCAATACAATGAATGCAAATATTGACTTCCAAATTAATTTATATAGAAAACAATTTTTACTAAAATAATACACTTTTAATCAATTTTAGTATGAACTTCGTTTTATTTTTTTAACATTGAATCAATTGCTGGCGTCGGTTATAATTATGAGATATGGCATCAATTCTTGATAATCATAAATAGTTTGAATGCTTGGGTTTACCAGTCCTTACAAAGTTCTATAGGAGTACATAAAACACTGTATAAAATAATATCAAGTATTATATAAAGTCATATTCCGTTTGTGCCAACCCTAGGCACATGGTTAGGGCAATAGTCATGAAAATATTAATCAATTGTATAAATACTTCAGCCAATAGTTTTATTAATTATTTTGTTTTGTGAAAGTTATCAAATTATTCTTTGGTTTGAATACTTAAATAAACCTATAATTTTAATTATATTTAACAAATCATTATTTATAGCCTATAGCCTATAGGTTGCGAAAGAAATGCAATAATTAATTAATTATTATCCTGTTATATGAAGTGCTATAATAAGTAAAATATTGTTTTGATAGAAGTGCGAGAAAAAAGTTTAAAATACTGGCGTCGATATTGAGTACAATAGTGGCCGCTCTGGCGGTCACTTTACTTGTGGTCATTGCTTCAAATAAAGGTATTGATCACTATATTTAATTAATTGTTAATTAATAAAGTTTAAATTAAAAGTATATTAATATCCGCAATAGTATCAGCCGAAGAAAAATGCCTGACCGACGAGTGCATACTAACTGGTATAATATAGTTTTATTTGATAATTACAAAAGTGCTTTAATTATAAGTTATAACTTATGCGCCACATATAATAGCGGGATACCTGTCCAGTTCAATGGACTTTTCAGTGGAACCTTGCGACGATTTTTATAAGTTTTCTTGCGGCAAATGGCAAGAAGATCACCCGTTCCCGCAATATCTAACCGGATGGGATTACTTTAACAAATTATTTTATTCAATGCGGACAGACCTCAGAAGTATTTTTTTAACTCACTTTCACTCATCATTAATGTCTGTAATCAATGAATATATGGGTAATTGACAGAAATTCTGGATTCAAAGCCTATCGCCGACACTCAACCGAAAGCAATGTCAAAGTTGTATAACTTTTATAAGGGCTGCTCTAATGAAGGTATGAAATGTCTAAAAAATTTCTACATTTGTGTCATAAGAAAACTATTAAACTAATGAAACTCATTAATGAATGGACAGCCATCAGGAATGCAAATGGATATTCAGCGTTAATGAAGAAAGTGGATGAGTTGGGAGGCTGGCCTTCAACTGATCCCTATTGGAACGAATCGGTGTACGACTGGGAGGAGGCGCTCATCAAATTAGTTAAACTAGATATCTCTCCCATCGTTGACATTGCAGTAGTATTGGACGCAAAGGATACAACACATCCTATGATTGAAGTGAGTTATGCCGCCATACATCTCATACATCACTTCAATGTCAATAGACCAGTGAATACCAGTGAATAATTAGTGAATGCTAGTTTAGTTTTTAACATAACTTTTAAACAACATTTTGTTTAGAGATTGTCATTTTAATTTACGATGTCATCAACAAAAAGCTATAAACGCATTAATTAGATTTTCTAGCTTTTAATTAACTTTTCAATTGTTATTTTTATTGCAGTCGATAGTTTTGACAATCGTTAATATTTAAATATAGTACACTGTATTAGTAAATGACTTTAAGAGTATAAATTGGATTTGAATGCCTAGATTGGTACATTCTCCATGGCTGCCGGTTCAAACATCCACAGCAAACAGTTTGGGATTAAAAGGCAAAAACCAAAAGTTAATCACTATTTTAGCAATTTAAACGAAGGGAATGATGCATACTTTGATAAAATTAAACTAATCATGAATGAAATCTATAACAACTCCATGCCTATCGATGACACTAAACTTAAAAATGATTTAAACGATACGCTTTTATTGGTTAACGATCTTAATAATGCTCAGACGGCTACATACTCAACACAATATTATCAGCAACACTACAATGATTTCAAATTTAAAGTCAAAGATTTAAGTGGACAATTTCCATCATTTAATTGGTTAAAGTTATTAACAAAATTGTTTCCAACTCTTGATGCCGAGGACACAGTATTTATTCCCGACATAAACTTCGTACAAAAATTTGGACAAATTATTGCTCAAACAGATAAAAAGTAATTTAACATATTAGTAATTTTATTAAATGCTTGTTTATTGATTGTACCATTAATGTAATAGGGTCCTAGCTAATTATTTTGCCATTACTCTTGTATCTCAATTGGGAGATTACACGACCCCTAAAATGCATGAAATTTTATATAACGAGAAATTGGATGCACCGGAAATACTGCCAAACATATGCTATCAGGCATTAGAGGATAAACTACCTGACCTTTTAGGCCGTCTCTTTGTGGACACGTATTTCAATCGCCATAGAAATGAGGCGATGAGTGACATGAGAGAGATAACCTCTTTAGTCCACCAGACGTTTGCCAAATCTATTTATGATAACGAATGGATGGACACGACCACCAAAATAGAGGCCATGAATAAAATCATTCATATCTCAGAAAACATTGCATATCCCGAGTGGACAATGAATGACCAGTTGTTGCTACAGTATTATGACTCGGTTTGTGTTATATATTAATTATTATTAATTTATGTATTTTTGTATTTCATGTCTAATATTATAGTATTTAATTGATTTATGTTAAACAGTACAGCGATATATCGGTTAACGATTTCTTTACATCAGCTCTCAATGTAATTGAAGCCAAGAAAATGCAGACATTTAGTGATTTTAATAGGAAATTTATAGATAATTCATATCCACCGTATGTATTATATTTTTTTTCTTAATGTTCACAATTCTTGCTATACATATATATCACAGAATCATAGATAACTGGCCCTCACAAAGTGCAATTGATGTGAACGCTTTCTATCACTTTGAAAACAACGCTATTTGTAAGTTAAATCTAAATTAAGTTATTAACTATACAAAGGAAAAACAAAATATACCACTTAAAAGCAAAATAATTAAATCAAAAGTAAATTATACTTATCTAATTTTAAGTGCAATTTTAAATAAATCTATAATAACGAGTGTTAAGAGAATAAAGTATTACAAACACAAATGTTAACTAATACTGTACTGTATAACTCACAGAGTACTGCCGATGCTCTTTACTATAGTAATACAATTCTGTACTGTTTTTTGTGGCAATAATTGCAATGAATTGAATAGAAAGCAAAGAATTGGTCACATTTTGCGAAGAATTCATTAAATTGATTTGATTTCAGGCTCTAATTATTTTATTTAATATATATATATTTTATACTTTCTCATGTTCAGTGATATATCCATTAATATTATGTGTAATCTTGAGCTCACATGTAATATACGAATAAACGCTGAATGGACCACAAAATAGTTATTACTTAAAAAACATTAATTATAATTATAATTAGATATTTTTATATAAGTAAATGAGAATGTGCAATAAGATTTTTTTATCTACATTACTTAATAAATAAATTTATTATATTTGTATTTAAAATTTAGTATAATTTATTTGGATTCTTTATTGAGAAATGTAGAATAATATCTGATAGGAATATACGAAACCAGACTAATCGAAATATTATTATTGAAAAATTAGTAATGGAGGCTAATGCATAAAATAACATCTTGTAAGCTCAAGTTAAAAACTTTTACTAATTTTCATTTGATGAAAATTAGTAAAAGTTTTTAACTTGAGCTTACAAGATGTTATTTTATGCATTAGCCTCCATTACTAATTTTTCAATAATAATATTTCGATTAGTCTGGTTTCGTATATTCCTATCAGATATAAATACAGTACCGGTAATTTAATTTTTATACATTTATATTTTTCCATTAATAATTAATCCAGATTTTCTGTTACAGTATTCTACTAAAATTAGCCTACTTAAATCAACATTTTATTGTTTTTATTAATATTAATAAGTTCAGTAGGAGTAGTTTATGCCTTTGAGATGAAATGACATTATTTTTAGCAATTCCGAGAGAGAGAGAGAGAGAGAGAAAGAGAGAGAGAGAGAGAGAGGAGAGTCGCCCACTTTATTACAGAATTTTATGAATATTTTATTCGATGCATAAGTGCTCTTAAATTAAACTAAAAAAGATTAAAGAAACAAAACTTTCTGATCCCTAATGTTTACTCTAATTACTACTATAGACTTAATTTCAACAGATATTTAAGACATAATTAAAAGACAAAGAGTCACATAATCTCTATTCTAATGCACATTTCTTTTATAGTATTAAATGTCTAACAATTATACTAATTATTCTTTACTTGTATTCAATAAAGTTTAAAAATAACATTCTTTAACAACAGTTTTTAAAAGATATTTGATTTATTGATTGTTTGGATAGATTTTCCAGCTGCGATAGCCCAGTACCCTTTCTATTTGATGCACCGACCCGTGTAAGTAAACATAATTATCTATTTTCTATTTACTAGATATACTCTTTAAAATTGTGTCATGTCAATTTTATAAAGCGTGTATTTTTCTCTATATTATATATATTATATATATATATATATATATATATTTCAATCTATATATATTTTAATATAGTCCAAAATTATTAGTATTTCAATTATTTCTAATATAATGACACTTGAATTATTAACATTTTTAACAATTAATATAATTTGACATAAAGTGCTATGAATTTGGGCTCAATTGGGATGATTATGGCTCATGAGATGACACATGCACTCGACCTCCAGGGTATGTTTTTCAGATAACATCCATTTATGTGATAATCAAACACATCATAAATATATAACTCTTTACCAAAAATAGCTTATTATTTGTCTCTTAGGAAGTCTTTTCGACTATAAGGGAGATCTAAGAAACTGGTGGACAAACACTACACGAGAAATATTTCTCAATAAAAGTAAGATTTCTAGTGAGTACTGGTCTATAATCACTTTATGCCAACTTTTCCTACACACTTTAGGTGAATGTTTTGTCAATCAATATAATTCCTATCGCTTCCCTGAGCTAAATATGACGGTAAATATCATATTATTTCTATTGAAATATTATTGCCATCAAAATATTGCCATTCGTTATATTTATAAAGACCAATCAATTGGCATATTAGCGATTCACTGGAGCTTTAGCTTACTTTTCACGTATTATTCTAATAGTGTATTCAATGCAAACATTTTCGTACATTAGGTTAATGGGAGCCTAACGTTAGGCGAGAATATTGCGGACAATGGAGGTATTCGTGAGGCATATCGTGTAAGCATTTGTTTTGCTTTTTTTGTTTCGTTATTTCACTTATCGGTTGAGTTTTAAATTGATTGCATGATTACAATATAGGCTCTTAAAGAATACCAAATACGAAAACCGGGAGAGTTTCAAAGATTACCCGGGGTTATGGAAAAATTCACCGAGGAGCAATTGTTTTTCATATCATTTGCTAACGTAAGTCATTATATTTTTATTAGAACTTATTTATTATGGAGAATGAAATGTTATAATAAAGAGTTTACCTATAGTTTGTTAAAACAAGATTAATAATTTATTTATCAAAAATAAATACAACTGTCAAAAATATTATCATGGTTCAGTAATTGTGTAATAATTAATAACGAAAGTATTAGGAATTATATATATTTAAATAAATTTGACGATGATTTTCAGACGCGATGTAAATCAAATGAAATATAACGTCACTTTAAATGAAAGCATAAAATAAATATTTGCATTTAAAAGCTGAATATTTTTAGCTCTGATAACACGTTAACTCCATTTAAAGTGCGATAAAATTCAATAGAATTTGAATTTGTTTTATATGGTAATCAGATAGTTTGAAAATTCAATTAGATTTGATTTGTTCCTAAGCTAAAACACAAAAAGATAGTGACACTAAAAATAGTTTTTCACACAACTTAGCATTTAGTCTGCAGAATATTCTGTACCCCTTGATAAGCTTATAAGTAGGAATCAACACATGAACTATGTGGCTTATATTGAAAATTAATTTCCAATAAAGCACAAACTACTTGATATTATGTAGTAGTTTACGAAGTGATATTAAAAATGTTAGATAATTGAAGTGATTGTGTGTGACATATGCAGATGTGGTGCTCCAACTACCAGAGCGATGCCATTGCGGACACCCTTCGGAAACAGCCGCACCCGCCGGAGTCGGTGAGAGTGAACGGATCGTTAGCCAACTTTGACAGGTTTACCGAAGCGTTTCACTGCAAACCGGGATCTAAAATGTTTAGAAAACCAGAAGAGAGATGTATTCTCTGGTGAATACAATTATGACTTTAAATAGAGAAAAAAAGCAAAGATATAGTGAAAAGAGAGAGATAGAGACTTAAGGACGGGTAGTAAACATATCAATAATTCATTTTTATATTTTTCACACATTTTATGATAAAAATATTTATTCTTCCTTTTATTAATCACACCATTCATTGCAATTTGCTTTTTTTGTGAATTGAAATTTTATACGATGATATTAATTTTTATTTTTTATACGAGCATATTATGAAATTATTCTTTATAATAAAATTTATTAAATTTTTTAAAAATTCAAAGCATAACTGAATTCCTATATTTATTAAAGTTATTTAAATAGAAAACATATAAAATATTAATCTTTGATCTTTTCTAAAATGACTATATTTATGCAGCTTATTACTTATTTAAGTAACTATAAGTTTACGAGTTTATGAAGTAAAATGCTAAAAGTTATGATTTGAATAAAATTCTGTTAATATTTATTTTAGTACGGTATAAATGTTTAAAAAGTATTAATAATTTAAATGCAAGGTATATTATTAAAATTGTGATGATAAAACTGTGAATTTAAATATTTTTGTCAATAAAATGTAATTAATAAAGTCATGTAACTATTATCAATTGAATTTGTATTATATTAAATCATAATATATCATATCATAAAGTCATTAAGGCAACTTTAATCATTAATTTATTAAAATCAAGTGAATTTAGTAAATAGCTTTAATAATTAATATTGTACATGAAATCATCAATAGTTTTTTAATGTAATAATTTTTGTATTGTACTTTATATTAAAATATTTGTATTTATAATCAGATCAATGAACATTAATAATGACAGACTTTTAACTCATTTAAGCATCAAATAAAATATTACAAAACATTAATAAAAATGAAAATGATTTACGACATAAAAGTGCCGCTTACGTTATGTTTGCTTTACTGTTAGTGTTTAATTTGCTCATTAATTTAATTCATCAAAATATTTTTAGAGTAAAGCTTTTTCATGAGAGCACAAAGACTATTATAATGTAAGTTTGTACTTAAAGATAATGATTTGATATGAAAGGCCTAAATGTAATGTCTTTTTATAACATTTATTTGTCGGAAAATATTGTCAAAAAGCTTTATCTCGTAAGTCGTTAAAAGTTTTTGAAATCAGGAATAAAGAGTTACAATGAATTATATATCGATATCGTCAGTGCCATTAGCTCAGGTATGTTTAGCCCAGTCATGAATTGTCCATTTGTTTAGTAAATTCCATGTAATATTCCTTTGAATAGATAAAGAAATATACTGTATTATATATTTATACAACAACAATAACACAAAAACTATAATCATATTAGAGGTAATGACAGAAATTTATTTGTATTAGTCTTTTACCACAACTTGTTTTGATCGTTCACTTTGATGGCATCGATCGACGGCTGTTCCGCCACACAGTCCTCTAAGTATTTGCCATTAATTCCGTTCATTTCCTTTGAAAGTGTCGTATAAATGGTTGTCTCCGCGCCTTCTTTTGCTGACTGTTCACAACATAACACACATTGAATGCCAGGAATACCAGTGGGAATGGGATCAGAATAAAGGAATTACAGAATAAACATATAATAAATTTGTATTCAATAAATGCCCTAAAAAAGAGCCAACAAACATTTCTTCTCTTAACGGACTTCCTATCGACTCTTTTGTTCACTTTAATCATCAATTTCTCAATTATTTTCTCAAAATTGCTTTTAAATATGAATGAAATCATAGAGACTATGAAATCATGAGTGATTTTCTTTCTCATTAATACAGTATATCAATATTTATTGGATTTGACAGACAATATATAAGTTAAAATATTTATTCATTATTATTCTTTAATAATAAATTTATTTTCTCATATATTCTCTAACATTCACTCTTGTTTATAAGCAACAATATGACATCATTTGTCTAAATAAGGCTATAAAGATAAATAGATTTGGAAAGTATTAGATAAACTATAGTAGTATTCCGAATTCCGAAATATTTATTTACTTATCGATAACCAATGATTAGATGATCAATACAGATATAATCAATAATTAAATTATTCAATACATACCCTGGATGCTTGTGCTAAAATAGATGCAGGTATAGGCAATTTTGACAAAAGTTGTGTGTCACATAAACCTGGATGCAAACTATTGACAGTAATTGATTGTCGCCAATCACCGCCTTTCTCATCTAACCAACGGGCCATACGGTTAGCAAACATGATTAGAGCCAATTTGGAGCGTCCGTAAGCAAAGTATGGCGGTAATAATTTGCTCTTCAGATTTATGTCTTTCAATCTAATGTTTGCCATCCTATGAGCTATGGATGACACCAATACTATACGCGATTCGCGTTTAGACTGTTTTCCCGATTCGCGCATATTGTCCAAGAAATGGTCGATAAGCAAACAGTGGCTCAAGTAGTTGACGACCAAATGCTCCTCCAAGTCATCCGTAAGCGATTTCTGCTGGTTTGACTCCAACATAACCCCGGCGTTGGCTATAAAATAGTTGAGTGGAAGTCCTGTCTCTTTAAATCGTTTTGCGAAATGGGTCACAGAATCCAGAGATTTGAGATCCAGGTGCCAGATATCGAGCTTTCCTTTGCCTTCGGGTATGTCAGCCACCAGTAGATCGTGTCGTTTCTGGCGCTCGGACTCGCTTTTGGACGACGAGCCAGTGATGACATGACAGTCCTTTTTCAGCAACACTTTGACCACTTCGGCACCGATGCCACGA